CAGCATGGGGGTGAGTAGAAAATGAAGGCTAATTATGTTTTGGGTGTACTATTCCTTTAAGTGTTACGTTTTGCATTTTAGTAACTGAATAAAGTCTGCTGCTCGGAGTATGAAGCAGTTGTGGAGTCAAGGCCGGTTCTGTACAGACCGAGGCTGCAACCTCTGAGAACCAGACTAAGAGCTAGTCTTTAGAATTTTACGAATAAGCTTAAGTTATTAAAAAATTCAAAAATTCTTTAGCTTTAAAAGAATTAATTAGTCAACCAGAAGGCCCTCTTATAATTTTATATGCAAGTTATTCAAATAACCAGACTCTTTAAAATCCACTGCAATAAGAAAATATTTAGTCTAACTTAGCAAAAAGCAACTCAGACGAAGCATTTGAGTGTTTATTGAGTTCTTCATCTTGATTCATTGTTTCTATTATCTGACTAAACTTGGATTTTCCATCAGCTGTTGTTGAATCTTTCTGTGGCCCAAACATCCAGCTGCTGTAAACTGAAGCTCTTTATTTCTCCTTTTATTTTGGTGATATTGTGTCCCTGACTCTGACCGTCTGGCCCTTCCAGCTGCTTTTTTATCTCTTCAACTGCTCTGCTCTCAATGAACACACTACTGCTTAATTTACCTGCACTATTATCTCATTAGCAAAGCTGAGGGAGGTAAGGAACAGACGGCCACTTTCTTTGGCCTTTATTGCCTTTGTCATGGTGTTTTCACAGTGGAATTGCAGACTCTCTCGTTTTACTGCCGCCTTCTGAAAGATTTAATTTTCTACACCAACAAGTGCAAACTTGGACAGATGTGTGTGAATTGAGGCGGGCTTTGACTCCCATCTTTCTGTTGCAGTTACAGCTTTAAGTGTCTGTTGAAAGGACAAGAGAGTACTTTTTTTTAATGCGCTGAAGAGACATTATACTGCTGAGGATTTGCTTTTATATTAATAATATCAGAACAAACCTGTCCTGGATCTATTCTCCTTTTCCATGATTTCTGACAAATGATTTCTTCCTTGTAACCATGTAAACTGTGGTGAAGTGTTATGACTCCATCAGGGACAGGAGATTAATCTCATCAAGATGGAGGGACAGACAGAAGAGGAACCGGACATAAAGGGCCTGATCAGAAACCATGTTTTTATTTCTTTGGTGGAGTTTATTGCTACCAGTCTTTATACCCTTAATTTTCCGCCGATTGTGGTTTATTTTGGCCTCATTGTTCTGGTTCATAAACACAGGAAGGGGCCTGTGAATGTAGCCAACTGTTCGAGTTATTTCACATAAAACAAAAAGGCAACCATAAAAATGCTCCTAAAAGAACATTTCCCTCGATTTATATGAAAATAATAGTTCAAATGTGTGTTAAAGGACATATAAATAAGCTAAATAATTCTGTAACTTCTAACCTGTAAGTGAAAATATCCGTCTCTACAACTTTTCCATTTTTGTCAAAATAATTCCAAGCTGCAAAAATTGAAATATGAGACATTTGTTCTTGTAATGAGTATATTTTCCTTGGTTTTGAGAAGGTAAAACTATTTACCGATGGAATATTTATGAAGTGAATTTCATTCTGTAGTGTTTCAAGCAAAGCACATTTTCTGTAAATGGAATTCGAAGATAAAGAACTGTAGATATTAAACATTAAAAAACTTCTGATCCAAAAAGAATTTATAGAGATTCTTTGCTGTTTTCTCCGATTCTGTTCTTTCAAAAATAAAAATGTAAAAATAATAATAATTTTTTTTTTCAATTTTATAAAACTTTATTTATGCAAACTAAAATAAGCTAATGTTTTTGGGGTTTTTTTCTTTTTTTTTTTACACACATTTAATATTTTCAGATTTTGGTTTTTAAAATGTCCCTTCTTTAAATACATTTTTTACAGATTACATTTTATTTTTCAAATGGCATTCCACAGATCACAATCTCTTCACTTCAAGCCAAAAAAAAAAAAAAAACATTTACTGCCTGACGCAGACATTGACCAATATAATACAATTACAAACATCCCGCTGACCAATAGAAATACATCTTCGCTCCTCACGCCCTGTAAAATGCATTTTTAAAGAAATGCAATTCGAAAATCTTAAACACATACATTTTATAAGATTTAAAAAGTAGAATAATTTTTTTTGGAAATTAAATATGAAAGTATTTGGAAAAAATTAAATCTGAGGAAACAGAAAAGTTACCATAAAAATGTATTTTGATTAAGAAGTTTTTCAAAGTTCAATATAAGGATTGATTTTATTTATTTATTATTTTTTCAAATTTTATTTACAAAACATCACATTTGGTTGCAAAAAAATAACAGGATAAACTTCTCTAAGAAAAAAGATAATTTATGTTTAAAAAAAGAAAAAACTGCATTAACTTGATTCAGGTATATAATGTTTAGTTATCTTATTTTGAAAACATAATGGCATGATATTTACCTGCTCAAATGAAGTTGATAAGATTAGAATCTATTTTTAGATAATCATTTGCTGTTAATTCATCCTTATTATTAATGAGAGCATTACTAAAGGATATGCATCAATATGAACTTGTGGAACCTTAGCTATAAACCGTTAGCCTCCTCAGGATGCACCGATTGATCTGCCCCAATATTCTAGGTGACGTTGATCAGCCGATACTGATATAACTGGTATTGTTTGTTTTTATCCAGTAAACCAGGATGGAAACATTGAAGCTTTAAGTGGACCTTTTAACACCTGACAGCTTCAGTTATACAGTAAAGGCTCTTTAAAGATCACCTATTGGCCGGAAACCTGCATCTTCATCCCTAATTATTATTATTAGTAAGCTTTCTCTGCCCTGACCAAACTGATGACGCTGCTTCACTACTTCAGTTTAACAGCAATCAGTCCGGCTTTACATCAAGTGCTGCAGCTAAAAGTTATTTTAGCAATCAAGCTTTCTATAGATGTTTTAGTTTAGTTTCCACACTTTTATCTTGCATATCTTAAAACTGCTTGTGGCATCCTCATGTCAGCAGATTAAGGCTTCAACGTTTTGCAACAGAAATGAGCTCCTTAACAAAGACAAAGAGGCTGGAACAGTTTAACAGGATTTAAGAAAACTTTATTCCAGATAATTAGCAGAAATTCTTGCATCATTTGAAAAACTGTTTCAGTCCCCTAGTTTATCTCACTTAATGCATCATGCAAATTTAGTGCAAGGCTAAGAAAACCTGGATTTTCAGCATAATGATTTAATCCTGCTCTTCTTCTTCAGCTTTATAAACAGTTGTCAGAGTTGGAGAATTAAGTTGGAGGCGGAAAAAATAAACCTGGTGCTGAGGTTTGACTTGCAGCTGGACAAAGGCCAGAAACATTCATCAGATCTGAAGTGAAATGCTTCAGAACAAAGGATATTAACATGGTATAATGGCCTAGTCAAAGTCCAGGTTAAAATTTAAACAAACATCTTTGACAAACCTTTATAATCCGAATAATCTGAATAAAGTTGACCTGCTTTGCACTAAAGAATGAGCAAAAGTAAATCCATAAAAAAGGATGCTTAACTTTTGTGATTATTTAATAATGCTTTCTTTTGCTTCACAATTTGTCTTTACTTTGTGCCTTTTATTTAAAACATCTTTAAATGCTTTGAGGTTATTGCAAATTATGAAATATGGTGTGAATAATTTTGTTAGCTTCAGCAGTTAAATTCAGGAACATTTCTGGTAGAAGTTCTCCCAATATTGCAAAACAGAACAACCAATCCTCTTCTCCTAAATCGTCCCTCCTATGGAGCCTTTACTCGGTCATTTCCTCCCCTCCTCAGGTCCAGGCTGCTCCGTCTCGGTTCCTGCCAATTCCTCCTTTTGGAGCCGTGAGGAGTACCTTGAAGCCGGGCTGGCCAGAGCGTCCCACAAGGCTGTAGTAGACCAGGGAATCATGTGGGTCATCGGAGGCTATGTCTTTAACACCTCTGACTATCACATGGTCAAAGCGTAAGTTCACCTTTCTGAGGCTGCACACATGCTTGCTGCTCATCATTAGCAGCCCTCCTATGAAAACAATCACCTTAGATTTATAAAGAATTCAGCCCTTTTTTTTTATTTCACTGGTTATTATTAAGCAAGTTAGGAGACTATATAGGAAGAACAACCACATAGTGGGATTTTCAAGATTAAGGTACATGGGTTAACTTTAGGATGTCAGACCATTTAAGAGTGTTCCTTATGATTTCACTTGGGAAAAAAGAAAGGACACTTTAGGCTACTTTCTCTACGTAAGAATGAGCTGAGAAGCTGATGTAAATCCCTTTTACTGGAAAACCCTCAGAGGCTTTCTAGAAATGCTTTAACAACTAAAAGGATCAAATGTTTGGTTAAATGTTCTTTCAGATAAATCAACCTGATATGGTTAAAGCTCTAAAAGCCTGACGGGAAACAACAAAAGGAGGCTCTCATCCAGATTTTTTTTAAACTCCACAAATGATCTCAGTTTGGATATTTTTGATCTATTTCTGCTTCCACCAGGAAGCTGTGGGTTTGGGACGTGGACCACTGAGCCCTCTTGTCTGTATCTAAGTCTGTATCTGTTCCTCTCTGGTTTAAACAATTCGACTCAGATAGCTGCTACTGTACAGATAAACTTCTCCTCCAGGAGTATTGTACAGACTCACATTAATAGATATGCTTTAGACTGTTTTCCACAGTTTGATGATTTTGCTTACGAAACAGCCTGAGGGGAGAAGAGGAACTTTTTTAAGTCATGGAGCTCATCAATGTAAAACATTACAAAATCTGGACTGAGTTCATGTTTCTGTTCCTTTCCTTTAGGTATAACCTGAGCAGGAAGACATGGATGACCCTGGACCCCTCTGTCAACACGGTCACCCCGCGATACGGCCACTCTTTAGCTCTGCATGAGGTACATGAGAGGATGGTTTCTGTGGCTGTCAGTGGGCCTCAAAACGTCAATAAAAATCACTTCCTTCTTGCTGCATCATGCAGGGATTGGTTTTATCAGGCAAATTAGCCTTAAGTTCCTCGGAGGATGGTTTGAAGATGAAGTGAGAAGGGAATCGATGGAAGCTAAATCAAACGGAAGCATTATCCTCCATTCCTTTCTCTATACTTCCTGTTGTACATGTATGCAACTAATGTATAAAACATCCAGTATAGATAAGCTGCTGTGAAGTGAAGCAGAATCTCCAGAACTCCAGAAAACCTATTTGGACCTGCTGATGAAATAATAAATCAGAGAAATGTTGATTTGTAGGAAGCAGCTTGAATATGCACCTTTATGTGAATGCATTTATATTAAGCCGTCGTACTCAAATACACCTGAAAAAAATCTGTCACGGAGAAGCAGGACACACATCAATGCATGCCTATTCCACAAACATGTACTGTAGACATATGAATTCAGTGTTTATATTTTCATTAGGGATAAAACAGATTTCCAAGTTAATTTCTGTTCCCTGTTTCTTCCTAATACTAAACCGTTAAATAATTCATCTGTTTTCTGCCTTAAATTTAAATGTTACACTCTTAGAAGATTTTCTTTTTCTTACTAAAGAATTTTTGGCACTAGTGCCTTTGATTTAAATTATCTCTCAAAACCTCAAAGAAGAGTGGCTATTAATGGTTTAAGTTTAACTCGCCATGTTTTTAAAACCTAAACCTGACAAATTGTGATTGGCAGCTAGCTTAGCTTAGCCTTGTGGAAGCAGGGGACTGAGCAGCAAGACGCTGGTAGTTACACAATATGCTAGCCTGACTGGCAGACTGACTTACACAAAGCTTAATCAGTCTCCTAAAGCTCAAAACCTTCTGGTCTTTATGGATGCCTTTAATTGTTTCATAAAAATGCTCTATATATGGCTAGGATTTTAACAACCGACTGCTTTAATACTGTTGTTATTTTGTTTTCTATTTTGGCAGTATTTATGAGCAAATTTCAAACTTGAACAATAATGAGTATCGTAAGCATTACACACAGTATAAACTGTCTCGTTATTGTAACTTGGAGCTTAATGGTCTCTTGAAATGAAGAGTGAAAGGAAGCCACTATGTGAGCTACAGACTGCTTGCCTACCTTCTTGGCATGCTCTACTGTGAAGGGATGCGCTACATCATCATCCAGAGATGTTGGCTTATAGGCAGTTAATGGCTCATAACAATCTGTTCATGTTAGCTCTAGCTTTAGAAATAATGAAAACCTGGATGTTTTTCCAATTAAATGCCGTAATTAACGACTCCAGACTTTTTAATTTACTCGGCTTGTTTTGTTAAGAATGTTGACCTATATAACAATCTCACTATCTAAATGATTTAACTGATCCATGTTTAATTTGGATGAAACCTTTTTCTGATCTCTTTCAGGGGAAGATCTATATGTATGGAGGAAAAATTGATTCAACTGGAAATGTGTCCAGTCAGCTCTGGGTTTTCCACATCCAGAACCAAACGTGGGTCCTTCTGAACCCCTGGCTCAATGACCAGTATCCTGTGGTGGGACATTCAGCCCACATAGTCCCTCCCATCCGAGACGGGGAAGATCCTGTCATGCTCGTCCTGTTTGGACACTGTCCTCTTTACGGTTACGTCAGCCGTGTGCAAGAATACAACATTGGTGAGCTTATCAGACTGTTAATGCTTTAGTGTTTTTACTTGTCATCTTCCGCCTGGCAGGGACCAAGCCAATGGGACTGCAGTTTCAGCAGAGACTCACAAACTTACCTTGCCTTAGTCATCTCATCCAGCACCTCTGGGCGAAGCCAAGGAATGCCAGGGCCAGCTGGTAGACCTAGTCCCTTTAGTGTGTTCTGGGACTAGAAAAGCAGAATGTTCACCTTTAGGCTTAGCTCTCCATTTACCAGAACAGATCAGAACAGCATACACATTGTGGAGTAAGCGTCACCCATCCTTCTATCATTCTCCAGCTCCATTCAAACGCACTCTTGAACAGGACCCCAGAATACTTGAATTCCTCCACTTGAGATGTGAACTCCCCTCTGACCTGAAGGGGCAAGCCATCCTTTTCCGGTAGAGAACAATGGTCTGGGACTTAAATGAGCTGATTTTCATCCTGCTTGCTTCACAATCAGCTGTGAACCGCTCCATCGCAGGAGGGAGCCAGCAGAACCCACCACCCTCAAAAAGCAAAACAAATTCTGCTGTTGCCAAATCCAGCCCTTGAACCCATAAATCCTGTCCACAAAGGTTATGAACCGGACTGGTGACAGAGGGCATCCCTGCTGCAGTTTAAAATGCATCAGGAAAAGGCCCTAAGACTTAATGTCGCCTGGTCTGCTGGTGCAGAGACTAGATGGCCCTGAATGAAAGGCCACTGACTCCATATTTCCGGTCTTCCCTGCACAGGGCACTTTGAGGGACACAATCAAATGCATTCTCCAGGTCTAAAAACTCCTTGTGGACCAGTATGACAAACTCTCCTTAAGCACCCTGCAGAGGGTGAAGAACTGATCCAATGTTCCAGAACAAAAACCACACTGATCCGCTTGAAGCCAAGATCAGACAATCAGCTGGACTCTCCTCTCCAGCACCCTGGCATAGGCTTTCCTTGGGAGTTTGAGATCGCCTTATATTCAGAACAAACCTTTTTTTCTAAAGGAGCGCCACCTCAGTCTGTTAGACCAGGGGCAGGGTTTCACTATAAACAGTGTTAGTGAGGCAGTTCTGACCCATCCTGAGGCTCCAAGGGAAGGGGGTCAGGCCCTGAGGCCAACCTATAGTAACTCCATGATCTCTTCAAACTCCTCCCAGGCCAGATTTTTTGTTTTGCATCCGCCCCAAATGGTAACACACTTGGCCTCATGGGACCTTTTTGCTGAATTAGAAACCCCACAGTCAAACCCGGCTTGATGGGACTCCTTCAGCTTGATGTCATCCTTTAGTGACTTGCTGCCTTTACAGGCACTGCAGACCTTATAAGCTGTGAGTGGACCCATCGAAATATAGGTAGAGAACAGTGCCCTGAAATCAGAGAAGCTCTTCAAGGGGTTGGGCTTGAATAAATCCATGACTGAGGGCTCCATCAACCTTTCCCAGAAAAAAGTTTTTATCAGCCAACTTCCTTCTCTTTCAGTGTATCCAACTTATCATCAAATGGTGATCTATGAACCCCCAATCTTCATGACATACAGTCAAATGTCAGTCTGAGATGTAATTTTTGTTTTCCCAAGGATGTGATGAAGTCCTCCAGTAGAATGATGAAGCTCCCGAGATGGGCGCTGTCCAGCACCCCCCACCAAGCGTGTTAAGAAGGTGGGGTAGTCTTGGCCATTGGTTGAGACTACAGTCAGAGTTCCATCCCAGGCCTAAAGGTGCAGGGATGCAACCCTCTCATCCAGAGAGGGGAACGCATGAGAGCTGTACTGGTGTGAGACAAACCCACCATAGCCCTTCACACCTTCACGAAAGAGAGTCCAGCTCCCCTTAAGGAGCTGGGTTCCAGAGGCCAGGCTCTGCGTGTAGGTGAGCCCGACTTTTTGTAGCCGATACCACTGAACTTCTCCCACGAGCTCAGCCATCCGCCCAAACGGAGATTCTGCCGGAGGCATGTAAACACCCAACCACATAGCCTCTGGGTTTGTCTGATCAGACTATTGATGCTTTTGTGTTTTTCTTTTTTTGTTAGTTTTTCTTTTTTTAAGTTTGAGAAATTTCAATGTAACATAGGACTAAAGAGTTCAGATTTATTCAGTCTCTTGTTGACAGTAAACTTGTCAGAGATCTCAATGTGTCTCAACAGCTTTTCTCACTGAAAAAATTAAATGGGGGAACCGTAGGCTCTAGCTGTTTGCCTGTAAAACACTTTTCAAACTAAGCTGAAGTCTTCTATCTAAACTAAAAACCCTGACGCGTCTACTGTCTTTTCTTTTTCTCTATATATGCCTGTGGGATCTCATTACATTTCTACTACATAAAGCCTTTAACCGTCAGTGTCTCACCGACTGTGTTCTGTGACCTTCCAGTCAAAAACAAGTGGAGCTTCTTGAGTACAGAAGGCGCTTTGGTCCAAGGAGGCTACGGCCACAGCAGTGTTTTTGACCCCAGCACCAGAGCCATCTACATCCACGGGGGCTACAAGGCCTTCAGTGCAAACAAGTATGGCCTGGCAGGAGACCTGTACAAGTTTGATGTGGACAAAAGGAAATGGTGAGATTTTCTTTAGCTACCTTTTTAATCACAAAAGTTTTTAAGTAGATCAGTTTGAAAGTCTCCTTTTTTTTTAATGTAATTTTATATGCAGGGTCCAAAGTTAACTTTTTGACTCAGTGGCCAAGTGGACCGGAAAATAAAATTATTCACCCGCCAAGCATATTTTTACTGGCCAGAAAAAAAAAAATAATTAGCTATCATATATTTTTAAGGAGCATTTTATTTCACTGAGGCATTATTTTAAAAGCAAACGATTTACAGAAAAAGGTAATGTAGTTTTATTTTAAAAAAGTGGTATTTTAGAGTTTCATTCAATGCAAAATACAAAATAATTTTTAAATTTTTTTTATGAAAGTGTCCATAAATTAAACCACTGGAAAAACTTCTATTTTCATTTGTTATTTTTTATTTCTTCCAGTTGCATGGGCAATGCAAAAAAATATATTTTTATCTTTGTGTTGCTATAGCTATCAGTGCACTCACAGTGGCTGTAGCATGGGTTGTTTGGATTGAGCCTGAGACACGGACATCCAGGGTTTATGGCATTTACTGTGTTTGTGTTCATGGATGCTCTCCAGTTTCATAGATTGACAGCCAATAAAAATTAAATGGTGTCTATTCTCTTCTGTGTATTTGCAGCACACTGAGCAGATTAGCAGCATTTTCATGAATAACAACACAACAGAATGGTGACCCCTAAAAATACAGAATCACCAAATTATTTCACTCTATTTATAAATATAAAGTAAGAGTTTATATGTTTAAATAAATAGTTTTTTTAATTTAATTATAGAATTCATAATTTTAAAATAAATATCTTTTAATATCGGTGGTTTATTTTGGTGGAATGGCCATGCCCAATATTTGGTTTTAAAGCTGATATCTGTCGGTACCGACAACTCGGTGATGATGCTCTGCATCCCTGGTACAGTTATGGGCAGCTGCTTTATATTTAAACTTTTTCAAGACAAGTTTCAATAAACAGTTCAATGTCTAGATGTGCAAGGCTGACAATTGATGTTATAGATGATGAGGCCGGAAACTATGGAGGAAATTTTGTGTCATTATTATTTCAAGCAAAGAGCACATTTTGTAAATTCATATAAAAAAAAAAAAAAAAGAAATGAAACTGAAAAAAATAGTTCTGAATAACTGCTTTCTGATTTATTTTTCAAATTTTATATATATAATTTTTAATATATATATATATATATATATATATATATATATATATATATATGTATGAATGCATGAATGAATGAATGAATGAATGAATGACTTCTGTACTGGCTGTTACAGATGGCACTGATGTCTATCCAGACCAATAGCAATGCATCTAATTACTATTTAAACTTTTTTTGATGTGATTTTTTTCAAAGATTGCATCTTTTTCAAATTTCCATTTAAAACCTCTTGTTTGCTTGTAACTACAATGAAGCCAATTTCACCCCATAGAAACAATTTTTTTTTTTTAATGGGTAAAAAAAACAAATATCTTTAAAATATTTTCTCCTCTGATGCTCCTCTGTGTTTATCCATCATATACTTTCTCAATAAACTGTATTTGTGGTTGTAACATAAATCAAAGTTTTCAGGAGGTTTAAATCCCTTTGCAGGCTGCTGTTCTTATTCCTAGTGTATGATTTTTTTTAGCTTTGGATCTTCCGATTATAAACCCCTCAGCTGGGGTGAGAGCAGAGGTGTAACCTTTGTCTGTTTGGTCGTGCAGGACCGTTTTGAGAGACAGTGGCTTCTTCCGTTACCTTCACACGGCGGTTATAGTGAGCGGCACCATGTTGGTGTTTGGAGGAAACACGCACAACGACACATCCATGAGCCACGGTGCCAAGTGCTTCTCCGCTGATTTCCTGGCCTACAGTTTGGGTAAGTAACGCCCACACAGATGTTTACACTTTAATCACTATATGTGCAGCATTATGTTGATGGTCATCTTTCTAATATCATCACCAGAATCAATGTAATCTTTATAGAACAGATCCTCTCATGCAGATAACTCTCTACTAGGCCTTTTAGATTTGCTAAATTTTTCTGTAATTCCCACTATTGATGTACCTTAAATAATCTCCAATAATCCTAAAATGAACCTAGGATAAAGAAGAAATATCTTCCTTTGTTTCTACTGTTTGAAAGCTTCTCTGATACATTCATCAAACCACCAATAAGCTTCTAATCTGCTGTAAAAACCTTTCTCCTGGAGCATTTTAGGATAGTCCATGCATGTAGCTGCATGTTTCAGGGAAGCTGGTCTGTTTTTCTGAGCAGACGGTTCAGCAGCCTGTCAGTCTATGTTCATGTTCTATCTGCTCACTGCAGACTAGAGGCGGGAATCTTCAGTTAGCTCACGATTCAATTCAATTAGCATTCAAAAGGAAGAACACCCATATGCATAACTACATCCCCAGGCTAGAGATGTTCAACAAACAAAGATTAAATGCTTTAAATGAAAGATTAATAAATGACAGAATATCTTAAGGGGTTCCGCTCCTTTAGGGAGGAATGACCTCCTCCACAGATTGACTTCTAGATCTCTCACTTCACATGTTAATAACAATTCATTTTGCTGAGCTGCTGTTTTTCTGCTTTCTTTTTTATTAAGCCCATTCATTTTCAAAGCTGTCGGGCTTGATCTGGCTGCCCTGCATTGGTGCATCCAAACTCTCACTGCCACACATCACAGTGATCAATCTTCTTGTTTTGCTGCTTTTAGACTTTTTTCTTTGCAATATTTGACTGAAAAAAAAACCTAAAGTTGGGCTTTAAATGACCAATTAGATGTTGTAGTTTTATGTTTAATTCAAATCAAAATCAATCAAATCAGAATGTTCCATGTCTGCATCTAGATTTATTATAAATAGATTTAACCCTTAAGGTCACAGGTGTAGAAGTAATTGTGATTGTGGAAAAAATCCCCAGAATAGTTCAGATTCCTGCAAAATCCATCATTATAATGGGAGCTGGTTCACGAATGGACTAATATAGGGACTATAAGGGTCTCAGTGGGGAGAGCAGTGGTCCCATAGCTGGAGGATTGTGGCTTTGGTTCCTGGTTCCCTTTCACATGTTGATGTCTCCATGGCGTTTGACCTAAGTTTCCGACCTACCAAAGTATGAGTGTGTGCTCCATTAAAGCCTGGTTTATTCTTGACTCTTGCGGACTCCCATCACTCGTCGTCAGAACGACGTCCAAACCTCCTGATCTTCCGCACTGCTTACCTAGAAAAATCTGTAACCACAAAGACAGCTGCGCACTGAATAACATAAGGGTTTCTGAGGGGGATTTAAAGGTAGTAACTTAAACACACTCAAGTAAGGCCATTGAAAGGGAAAAAAAAGCTAACACACAGAATTTGACTTGGTAGTAAACTGTTTGTCACAACTTTAATATATTTTATATTAATTCTGCATTTTAACTTTTTGATTTAGTTTAACATATCAGTACCCTTACTTAGTACAATTGGTTGCAGTTCTAATTTGCACATTAAAAGAATAATGATAAGAATAAAATAATTTAAAATATTGTCCAAAATGTTTTTTGTTTGGGCTGTTTATTTGAACACTGATTAAGCTTGCATCTGTGATACTGTAAAACAAAAATGTTCAAAGTTTTATGATTTTAATGATAAGATTAAAATTCTTTTAATAATCTGTCATTTTTTTTATCCTCTTTGTATCCAAAATAATAATGAGAATTGAATATTTTGAGTATCAATATCAAGTTTGACATTTCAGTACCGTGACAAACCTAGTTTAACTACAAAATCAGTATGAAAATGCCAAATATTTATGACCTGACCTGAGCTGATGGAACCAATTGCTTCTGCAGGCTCATCTGCTCTGCGCTGTGTTGGAACTGCTTGATATGTTAAAACTAGCGAGGGAGCTTGCGCCTCGCCATGGGAAAATTTGCATATTTTAAAACTTTGATTACCTGGCATTTTAAGACTGCTTTAAACAGCTCATGGATAATAATCCCCAAAAACTGTAAAAGTGACCCTAAACAGTGCTCAGTGATTAATTCACACCGAGCATCCATCATTCACCAGCAGCAGATTAGATTTATGTTTTCAGTTGCTACACAGAGAAGTGCAAGTCCAGCCTCGGTTTTAGCTACGAGCACATTACTGTCATCACACCTCAGCGGTAAACCAGTTTAATCTGCAATACAGGAAGCAGACATTTTAAACACCAACTTCACCTCTTAGAGCTGAGTTTTTCTGGAACCTGAATACTGCTGCCGGTTATAGCTCCGTCTAAAATCAGGAAGATGTTCCAAAACATGCTAACAGACTAAAAAAAAAACAACGGGCCAACATCATTTAGGTAGCAGCGTCAGAAGTATTTTGGTTGGCGAGGATAACTGAGGCGATGATCCCTCCTCCTCCTCCTGCTTTAGTTCTTTCCTAAATGTTAAAGGATGAAGAAAAAAATATCAGCTGCAGATATAATGATCATTCTTCCCTTAAAAATAAAACCAGCTCAAATTATAGTTTGGATTAAAATAAAAATAAATCTGATGCAGCTGCTATGAAAACAGATTTATTTATTTTTCATGGTAAAAACTATCAGTGTGATTAAACTTTTGGGAGTGAGGGCTGATCCGGTCAAACCGGTTCCACTCAAACCAATGGGGAATCAGAAACCCAACTTTAAAATCATATAATGTTTAAAAATAAGCTTTATTCCTTTATTTACTATATTAAAGCCCCAGAGGTTGGTGCCTGCCCTGATGGGGGTTAGAGGCAGGAACCATGGGGACGTTCTCATTAACCTATCAGTCTAGAAACATTGTTATAGATGGCGTTGGCCTCGTTCTGCCATGCTGTCATAAATGGCTCATTAATTGGAGACTGGAATCTCTTGGGAAGTGGGGCAGATTTCCCACCAGGCTTCATGATGGCCTCAGGAACTTCTGTCATTAGAAAGTTAACTGACAACCAGTAAAGTTGGAGGAAAAGTTTTTAGGTGACTTCTCCTCTACTCCATGTAGATTAATCATAATGTGGCACAGCTGCATCATAAAATACTGACTCCTGTGACGGGTTGAACATCTTCCTAACCTCTAGTTTTCCCCATCATCATCCATCCTCTCTGATTTTTACAAGATGAATCTAAGCTGACAGTATAATCCACCAAACCCCAGCCAGCTGCAAGGCTGTTGGCAGCAGCACCTTTGGTAATTGTTGGCTAATTACATTTAAAATGGACCAAGCCTTCTCTTAACAAGCTCAACTCAATTAAAGAGCAGATTTCTTAGGCTGCCTGGTGTCATGGCATTGTCTGCTGCTGTTGTCATGAATCCCTGATCTGAGGGACTTTACACTGTCCCACCTGCGATACCACGTTATCACAGCAGATGGCACTGACTCTACATGTAGGCAGGCCTTTCTCTGGGAGACTGAAGACTTCCTCTGTTTTTCACAGCAGGTGTGTGTGCTTTCCAGCCTGGCTTGCAGTGAGCGTGTGAACCAGAGCTGTACCTACTGCTGCTGTGGTGATTCTCCTAATAAACCCAAATATCTATTTAAGTCAGAGCTGTCTATGTATGAGAGTTCTGACAGCTCCATTGACGACAATGGAGAACTGTTCAAAGAGCACAGAGCTTAAACAGTGGAAAGAAAGTTAGCTGCTCACTTTAGCATTCCCATAGACATCAGCAAATGATGCTAAACAACAGAAAAATATAGAAAAGATCTCGATTATCACATGATGCTTTCTGATTCTACCTAGTGTTGAATAATATTTAAAAAAATGTTTGAGTTGGATAAAACAGTTTATTTGTTATATGCACACTCAAACAATGTACAATGTGGTTATTTTACATTAGCAAGTTTTATCGGAATTACAGAGTATTTCTTCACTGAAAGAAGAGCAAAACAGAGCTCTGGAGGCTTTTTTCAGAGGTTTGGGCAAGAGTAGCCTGGCTTGTGGTTGTGTTTTCGTTGTCGCTCTGTTAGTACGTCATATGCTTTGTTGATCTGATTGGTTTATTTGGCCCGTCTATCACCAACATAGGCCAATCAGTTAACCAGTATTTTCGCCCCTTCCAAAAATTAACGGAAGGTTTCCAGATGGATATGCGGAGCAAATCCATCTGGCGGAGTCAGGTTACTCTGTCTGTCCGTCTTGTACAGGATAGCTTTAAAAGTTACAAATGCATTTTAATGATTTTTTATTTTCATTTTTTTTTTTTTTTTACCAAAGGTGCATCTCAGTCCAAGGAACAATTCATTAAATGTTGGTGATGATCCAGATCACCCTTTGGATCCAGGAAGTTGTTGAAAGATCCTGTGAATACAGGTTTTAGCTTAAGGTGGAAGTCCCAAAATGTCGGGGGCAAATGAGCTTCTGGACAGAGGTCTGGGCTCTCTGATTGCTTTTCTAGTTTTTAAATGTTGCTGTCAGATTTGATGTTGGGCCTTCATTTAAACTTGGAGTAGTTGAGCTTTTCATGATGGAATCAGCTGATACAGGCTTATCTAAACATACTGAACTNCTTTTCATGATGGAATCAGCTGATACAGGCTTATCTAAACATACTGAACTCAGACTCAAGCTTGAGCTGGAGGAGTTTCCTTGTTTCACATATATGCCTTTAAAGATCTTCCACTCACACAAATTAAAGCATTTTCGATGAAATCTGAATTTTTATTATTTTAACCTGAACACATCTCTTCATATTTTGCAGATTCTCTCTACCTCCCGTTAACCTTGTTGTGTAGTTTCCCTCTTAGTGTCTCAGACAGGTTGTCCTTTTAGTTTGACTGACTCCAGCAGAAGACTTGTTAAAGGTCTCTCTAACCACCCGAGGCGCGTCTGCATCAGATTTTACTGCTGTAAAATGTGTGTGATTGAATGTGTGAGAGTGGGCCATCACTCTGACGTCTCCTTCATCTTCTCGCTGCAGCGTGTGACGAATGGACAGTGATGCCTCGACCAGACCTCCACCATGATGTCAACCGCTTTGGACACTCTGCTGTCATCAGCGACAGGTAGAAAAACCTTCCTTAAGGAGGAAGTAGGACAGTTTATTATTTCAAAAACAATAAAAAAATATATTATTTAAAGATCCTGACATGCTTTAAAATCAGTACACTTACCTGTTCATTCATCCAGATTGTCAGACTTCTTTTGACAGCAGAGTTGCAACCCACAAAGTGCAGCAGCTCACCTGCAGCGGGAAGCTTTAAACTTTGTTGAAAGGACAATTAGGAGTGTTATTTGAAAATATATAACAAACTATTTTAAGCCTACAGGGAAACAGTCCCTGTATGGGGTAGATGTATAGAAAAAAAATATGCCACTTGCAAGCTGAAAACTAACCCTACAACATCAATAGTTTAGCTTTAAATGATCTGCAAAGCTTCTGTATCTGTTACAGCAGAGTAGCAAAGCTCCCAGAAGACATGAGCTAAAGCTATCAGTTTAGATATTAGCTTCAAGGACACATAAAGCTCAGTGCCGGTGAACTGTGGGTCTAAGCTTTTTAAGATGAGTTTCCTTTGGGAAACCTTATCTGACAGCTATTTAATAGAACAGGACCCAAACAAACCAGTGTGGCTCTTGTTACTCCATGGTTTAGGGGTTAAACCAGACTGAAGCTGACAATTAGAGCAGATAAAACACAGGAACCTGTAGCCACTACCCTGCTGCTGTAGTTGATCTATAAAGAACAAACTCTTCATAATTACCTGCAAGAGAGAATTTGTACCAAGCTGCTTCTGAAAACATTTACATAGTCCAGATCCTCCTTTCTACTGTAAAGTGAAGGTTTCTAAACTTTGCACCCTCTGCCCCACAGAAATGAACCAGAATGAACTCAAAGTATTGGTTGAAATACTAATTTTT